GAGGCGGCAGCGGCGGCGATGAGGACTGCGACACTGTTGATGTCCTCCATGTCCTGACGTGAGACACATGTCATCCACAAAAGTGTCCAAGTGAAGTGCAAAAGCTCTTTCTCTTACAAATGCTTAAATCGTATTCATATCAAAGCCGATCTAGTTTCAAAACGTGGACAGGCTCTTCTGCCCTGTTGTTTTGCAGCGTCACGGTATTTCCTTCATGAAGGGCGCTGCCAACTGCAGAAATCCACGATTGGAAATTAACTTGATTCCACTGCCACGGATGGTGATGTTTGTCAATGGGAATCTGACTGTTTACTGCCACCAACGCATATATTCTTCATGTTGGTCTGAAGAAAAAGGTAAGATGTGGAAGAGGGTCTCGCCCAGCTTGTCCGTGAAATTCAGGCTTGTAAACCACTGTAATGACTAACAGATCCCAGCAGATGGGATTGAATATTTTTGTAGAGTCGATAAGTGCAATAATTAACTGAATAAAACTCTATTTTGCATTAAAGTGGACAGCTACATCATTTTTTGTCCAATTACTAAGTATGAATGGATTATTGTGTTTATTGTTTGATTATGAAACAAAACCAAACAACGAAGCAGTATCACACGAGAGGGAGTGATGTACTCGCCGGCGTTTTTGAAACTGAAAGTTACTTCTTGGGTACCGATTCATGCAAAGGCCTCCCATGTCATGCGATCATGAGAAAAGATGATGCAGTTCATGGAGTGAATGACAAACGTCATGTAAAAAAAAAAAAAGCCACTGATGTTCCACTGGAGTGATGCTGTGCGGCAGCATCGCTCATGACTTTATTGTGCCTATGTCAATCAATGATGACTTTGCCTGCTCAAGCCACATCTCTGTCTACTTTTGGTTGTTTTCCAGCTTGAGGCGTAATGTTTACATCATGTAATAATAGCTTTGCGCTCAACAAAACAGGCCCAGATTTCAAACCGAGTAAACTAACTTTTCGAGTAAATCATTATTTTGGTTTTAATACTTTTGCCGTGCTTGTTTGGTGCAATGAAATTGTGTCAGTGTCAAATCTGTGCATTGGCCCAACCGATTTGGAATGCTCTTTTCATCTTGCAAAGGGGGAGCGTGATGACAAGTGTGACTTGGAAAAGACACATACACACGTGCTTTTGTTGACGTCGCTATTGGAAGGGGAAATGACCGCACGTCCTTTCCTTTCATCTTTCTCGAATCCTTCACTTTCTCTTTACCAATCGCCTTCCTCTTTTCTCACCACTTCTGCTTTGCGGAGTTACTCACGCGTGTGGAATACAGAATTGGAACACCCTCAGCCATTCACGAATTTGTAATATGAAAGTTGCGCGCGTTTGGAAGCTTTTTAAGGCTCAATTTGAGTACTTCTTTGGGAAACGCCAGGCCCGGACAGCCTCCAGCGAGCACCTGTTCGGCCGTATCTAAAAATATGTCACCTTGTTTCATTTCCATTTGTGGAATTCGAGTTAAAACACATCCAAACGTTGAGTAACCTAACAGGCCGACACGTCTGTGGTGGTGCTAAATGGCGAGAGAGCGTGTTAGTTTCAAAACAAAAGCGTCAAAGGTGAAACATCAAGTTTGGCCACGTTAGCATCAGTTAGCGCGGAGGCTAACCCAGTACATAAGCGTGTAAAAACCCGCCGGAAAAGCATGACTTTTCATCTGCGGTTAATGGGTAACCAACATATTACTACACTGAGACTTGTGAATGAAATTAAATACTCACCGAGTCGCCGCGCTCTTTGTCCTCCAAGCATGCAAGTGCTCGCGTTAGTTTTATTTGCCAGTCATTAAAAAAAGAAAAAAAAAGTCGCCTCGGTCGCTCACATTGCAAAATGGCGAGAATGGAGCCTGGGTCACGTGACTCAGAGTTTGCGGTCAGGTGACCAAAAAGCGGCTTGGTGATTGGACTGGCTGGCGGTCCAGGAAACCGCGGATGCTGCCTTTCGATGCAATTTGCAAAATACAAACCCATATTCTTTTCAACGAGATTGAACGCAGCTAAATATTCAAAAATAGCAATCATACTCATCATAATATAGAAATTATAAATGCAACTTCGGTAATGTTGACTGAAAAGATTTTTTATACGCGAGTGTGCGTGTGTGTGCGTGTGCGTGTGCACGTGTGTGCGCGTGTATGTAGGCGTACGTGTGTGTGTGTGTGTGTGTGTGGGGGGGGGGGGGGGGAGTGACAATGATGGTGGTGGGAGGAGGGGGCAATAGTGTTATCATTGGCTTCAAGGGTTTTAACTACAGTATTCATTTATTGAGACAAATAATGTACTTTTTTTTTGTCCAATCACGCAAGCATTCATTTACGTCACCCAAACACGTCATTATATGTTGACATTATATTGTCAACATATAATGAAAGCATCTGTTTGCCCACTTATATCCAAATGTAAAGTGGTCAGGCCCAATTTCGGTGCCCGGTGCAATTGTAGTGCAAAGTGCAGTCATGTGCGCAAGGGTGGAGTTTTATTTTTATTTCTTTTAGTATTTTCAGAGACGAGGCGTTTTCACTTTTGTGGAAGTAAACACACACACTATATCTATATATGGATGTATTTTTTTTTCAGATGGTTCCCCTCCTCCAATGCACCTGCTTCAAATAATCAGCTTCACCAGCAAGCTCTGCAGAAGCCTGGTAACTACTCATTTTAATCGGGTGTGTCGGAGGAGGAAAACATCTAAAACACAATACAATAAAATACGTCCTGATTTAAACACGCATAATAGCAGCCCTCGAGGACCGGATTTGGCAACCCCTGGTGTATTCCGTCAATGTTTTCCCTTCCTGACGTCCACATGATGTAAATCCTTTGCTTTGTCTTTCGCCTCCATCAGCGTGCTCTGGGCTATGACCAGTCGCTCATCAGCGTCACTCATCTCGACGCCGACCTCAAAAGTACCCCGGTGGGCGCCCGGCATCCAACCCCATCTGACGGCTCATAAAGTTCCCATGGCGCATTAGAGCCTGGCCCCGGGCGTAGAAAAAGATGGTGGCCGATAGCAGCTTATTTCTGTTGCCCTATTAAAGTCATACTTCAGTCCAGCCTCACAGTTCTTGTTTCAGTCCAGCTGGGAGAGCTAAACAAAAGGACACACGAATGACTTTTTCTTACATTTCAAGCTACACTACACACATTTTGCAGTGTGCATGACATAGAGACACACTAATGACAAATGAATAATCAAAACGATATGACTGGCAGCTACCATTCTTGTGTAAACTGTGTAAATAATTAGAAATGGAATTCAAGAAAATAACACGAGTCAATATTTTTAATCAGACATGCAAGCAAACTTTTTACACTGTTTCTTTTTGTGCCCTTGTTTTTTTCTCTGGCACATTAAACGTAAGTAGGTTTGATTCAAAATTAGGTGGGCTTTTTTCTGAAATGTCATAGTTGTAAATGACACGGTATTATAAAATCCCCATTGCACACACTTTCATAGGTCAAACTGAGAAACAGAACATTGAAAATATCTGAAAAATCTGATGTTCTCGTAAAAAAAAAGGAAATCAGCCAATCAATCGTGCTGCAGTCCCAATTTTCAACACCAGGTGCCAGCCATGGCATGCGGGTCATATGAAGACGCCTGCGGTGCATTTCACATATTTTCACTTTGCATCGAGTCGAGTTTTTGCAGCAATATAAAATGTGAAAGAATTGTAAAATGATCAACCTGATATCTGCTATGAGCCATTCGAATAAAATTAGAATGTAAAAAAAAATGGAATTAAAAATAATGCTTTCAAATTTAGCAAATGTAGTGATTTGAAATCGTTCATTTTTGAAGTCACATTTTCGATCAACCTATCGAATGCTTCGAATTGAATTTAAAAATGTATCCTTTTGGAATCCAGCACTGATATTGTATTTGTATGTTAAATTAGGTTAATGAAGGTGGCACAGTGGGTGTGGGTGACTGGTGAGCACGTTGGCCTCACAGTACAGAAGTGCGAGTTCGAATCCGGACCCTTCCTGGGTGGAGTTTGCACAGTCTCCCCGTGCCTGTGTACATCGGTTTTCTCCTACGTTGCAGGGTAGTTCACGTGCACACTCTAACAAAAGCACAAATGAAAAGAATCTCAAATGTGATCTCATGTGCATTTTATTCATGTGACAAAAAGGTGAAAAAAGAGACACACTTCATTTCTTATACATTGCTTTGTAATGATGAAATGAAGTGTAACAGGAAGTAAATGTGTGTGCGAGCACAGACGCAACGTCATATTGTTCTTTTTTGCACGCAATAAGACTGGATGTATGACCTCCAACTTGGCACAGGACTAAACAAATACGCATACACGCACGCATGCACGCACGCACGCACGCACACG